GGGCAGCTGGAACGGGCACAGTATCTGCCCTGCCTGAGGGTCTGTTGAGAATAGCACTAGTTCTCATCACTGAGCTGTCAGGAACATCGCAAAGTGATTTTGCTTTCGGCCAGCACTGCGGTTGGACTTCAGGTAGGTGGCCCTTAGCCCTGGACCCCATGCTTCAGAGAGACGTATTCCAGCCGTTTGTTAGTGATGCCCTCCAACCATGGCCAAGAGAACATTCACCTGCACCCCATACCGCCTTCAAGACTACGTTTTGTGCTCTGGAGACTGTGGAAGTCCTAAACGCTCCGTTTTCAGCACTCTGCCATTGCTTAGAAGATGCTAAGCGTAGTAGCAAGTGTACATGCCCTGCTGTTTTCTTAGGCTCTCTTCCACTGCAGCAGAGTCCCTCACAGCTGTGGGAACTTGGAAAATTTCATGTTCAAAAGATCACATTGATTCACCACCTCAGGCTGAGGAAGTAGGAAAACTCAAAATAACCTGTGTTGGATTCCACGGCAGTTCAATCAAGACGTGAGGGCAGCAAGGCACGTAAACTGCGTGGGAAACACACAGTTGGTAGGACAAGAGCGACCTGGCTGCAGCGCAAAGCCGCTCTGCTTTCCTTAGGGGCGTTGAGGCAGCTGGCCCTTCTGCCTGTAGCCCACATACCTGCGCTCCACCACGACTGGTAGGTGCAAGGACTGAAAAGGAGCTCAGCTGTTTACGAACCCGCCTCGTGAAGTGACTACCAAGGCGTGATGAGAATCCATGTTCGCATGCACTATTCCACAGGATGAATATCTTGATTGTGAAAGAATTCTTCCCAAGCGACCTCAGATGCCAGCTTCATCTCTAATTTGCGCTGCTATTCACAGCGAACAGACTGAGATACTACTGTGTATGACAGTGGACCTGCACTGGAATTCAAAGACCTTGTTAACAGGCTTGAAAACAGGCTGCTCCAGCCTTGGTGAAAGTTTAGGCTCATCAGTCCTCTTCTTTCTTAATTCTTGTTATGGCTGAATACTATTCCATTTTGAATATGTGTGTCATCATTTCTTTATTCATTGGTTGATGGACACAGGTTGATTTTATGAATAATGTAGAAATTAAGATGTTTCTTTGACATACTGTTTCATTTTCATTAAAAATATGCTTATTATGAAAATTGTTGGATAAAATGATAATTCTGCTTTTAACTTCTGAGGAAATTCTATAGTACAGTTAGATAGAAAGAATAAATTCTAGTTTTCTGTTGCATAATAGGGAGACTATGTAAACAATATTGGATTCAATATTTCAAAATTGTTAAAAGAGGATTTTGAATGTTTGTATCACAATAAATGCTAAATACATGACATTGTATGCATGCTAAATAACCTGATTTGACTATTATGCCATGTATGTATATATTGAAATATTACATTGTATTCCATAAATCTGTACAATTAGATATCAGTTATAAACAAAGTAAGTAAAGTGAAGTAACAAGAATTCAGTCTGTGTTCTAGTTTGCTTTTTTACTGTTGTGATAAAACACTCTGATCAAAAACAACTTGGGGAGGGAAGGGTTTATTTTATCTTATATCTCCAAGTGACAGTCCATCACTGAGGGAGGCCAGGGCAGGAACTCAAGGTGGGAACCTGGAAGCAGGAACTGAAACACAGACCATGGAGGACCACTGTTTACTGGTTTGCATCCCCTGGCTTGCTATAAGTTACTTTTCTTATACAGCGCAGAGCTATCCGCCTAGGGACAACACCACCCAGAGTTGGCTGGGCCCCCTACATCAATTAACAATTAAGAAAGTGTCTCACAGATAGGCCCACAAGCTAGCCTGATGGTAGCAGTTTCCTCAGCTGAGGTTCCTTTTCCCCAAGTGACTCAGTTTGTATCAAGTTGACAAAAACTAAGCAGCAGAGTCTAGATGGTGCTGGTGGCCTACAGGGGACAAGAGGGAGACGACTGGCCACCACTCAGTAAGTTGTCTCTGTTCACATCCCTGGAGGTGGCTGCAACTGCTCAGTATTAATGGGTGGAGTAGTTCAAGAAAAATCTGTCTCTTAAACTGGAGAATTTATATGATCAACTCAAATCTACAAATAGTTACTATTGGTTGAGTGCCTACTATTTGCCAGGCTTTGTGTGAACACTTTTGTGTGACAATGATGAAGACTTTTTAGATAGAGGGGTAAGCATTTTATTTTGTTAAATCTAAAATTCTAAAGTTAATTTAAAAATGATAATTTTCTACAAGTATTTTGGATATATTGGGTTAAGTAGAATATGGTATTTAATCAAGGTCACCTATTTCTCATCACTTTTTTTACCTACCCACTAAAAAACTGTGGTTCATATTATGTTTCTATGAACCAGCACTGCTCTAGAGTCTGAATCATTTTTCATGTTTTTCTACATTTTCATTATATGCAGAAAGATAATTAGATGTTTCTGATGTTTTCTAACATAAATATTCATTATTTTTATAGTTGATAGATTTTAAAAATGTAACCCTTACGGATAGTTAGGTTCCTCACGCATTCTTTGAACAAAGTTTTCTTTTGTTGCTCCCCTCCCTACCTTAAGTCTTTTCCCCCTGGTGCCCTCCCTTTCCCAATACTCTTCTTCCCACTTCCATGTCACACATAACCTTTTCCCCCGATATGCCCCTCTTATCCCCCTCTCGTGGCCTCCTATAGAGTTCCACAGTCTATACCCACTTCGGCGCCCCTTTACTGACATACATGAAACATTAAAGTCAGGATCTGTGTGTGAGAGCAAACATGACATTTCGGGCTTTCCGAGACCGGGCCACCTCAATATAATATTCTCCAGATCCATCCATTCTCCTGCTACTTTCATAATTTCCGTGTTCTTTGTAGTTAGGTAAAATTCGCATGCCATATTTTTATTATCATTCTTTTGCTGATGGACATCTAGGCTGGTTCCATTTTCTTGCTATTGTGAATAATAAAAACAACATGGATGTGCAAGTATCCTTGTGTTAGGATCTACAGTCCTTTGTCTATATGCCCAGGAGTGGTATACCTGGATCATATGGTAGTTCTATTTTTAATTTTTTGAGGCGCTGTCATACTGCATTCTGTAATGATTGCACTGGCTTACACCTCTACCAACAGCAGATAAGGGTTTCTCAAGTTATACTACAGAGCTATAATGGTAAAAACAGCACGGTACCGAAAAAAGCAGGTCTAGCATAGGTAGTAGACCAATGGAATAGAAGAAACGGACCCAGAAATAAACTCCCACAGCTAGTGGCCACCTAATTTTCAACAAAGGCATCAAGGACATACACTGGAAAAAAGCCTACTCAACACCTTTGCTGGCAAAACTGGATAGCCACCTGTAGAAGAATGAAATTAGAGTCATATCTTTCGTCCTACACAAAATAAATAAAGAATAATTAGAGATTTTAAGCCCTTCTGAAATGGAGAGAGGAAAACAAAGGGATCCACCTGACGTTACAGGTTAGGCAGGAACTTTCTGAACCAACGAGTGAGACAACACAAAAATCAAACGTTTCTGCACAGCAAAGGAAACTATTCAAGGAATGAACAGACAGCCTACAGAGCTAGAGAAAATCTTTACCAGCTTTACTTCACACAGGAGTTTGTTATCTAGGTTATGTAGAAAACTGCAAAAATTAACACCAAATTAAAAAAAACACTGCCAATCAATAAATAAGCTAATGAAATGAACAGATAGTTGTCAAAAGAAGAAACACAAATGACCAATAAGTATTTTTTTAAATGGTCAACATTCTTAGCCATCAGGAAAATACAAATTAAAACCACTTTGAGAGTCCATATCACTCCAGGCAGAATGGCTCTGATCAAGAAAACAAATGACAACAGATGCTGGTGAGAATGTGGGGAAAGTAGATAAAACTTTAAATTGATTCAAGGTTTTTAAATGTGATGGGCTTTAAGTGAACATCTTTCTTCTCCTCTTCATGCTCCTTCTCTTCCTACTTTTCCTACTTGACAGTCTACAAGGTCTTAAAGTAAAGGATCAATGTTTATTCTTGGCCATATACATACTTCACACACTTCAGTGTTACATGAAGTTAGTGCATGTAACACTAGAATTAAAGCAACATGGGTAGAGACTAACAAAGGGGTATACCCTTGTCATATAAAACAAAATGCTAGTCAGTGGAGTAAGGGTTTGGGATTAATGAATTCTAAATAAATTACCTATGAAACAGCAGCAAAATAACTACTAGTTCTTTTTAAACAACTAGGCCAAAAATTTATTCTTGTCATATTGCCTCTCTTACATTTAATTTATTCATCTATTTTAAAAAATATTTTATTATTTTTATTTATGTGTATGACTGTATTGCCTGCATGTATGTAAGTGCACCTGTGTTGTGTAATGCCTGTGGAGGTCAGAAGAAGGTGTCGGATTCCTTGGAACTGGAGTTATGGATGGTTGTTAGTTGTCATGTGTGTGCTGGGAATGGAACCCAGGTCCTCTACTAGAGCAGCCAGTGCTCTTAATTGCTGAGTCATCTCTCAGGCCCTTATTCATTCATTTTTAACAATAAACACAGCCATATTACTTTATGCTGGGTGACCACTCACTGCAAATGATGTTTTCAATTTGTCCTTTACTGCCTTTAAAGCACCACATCAAAATTAAACCTCAGTTCAGCTGAATTCTGAGCGTTACTGTAAACACATGTTGATGGATATGATCTATAATTACTAGTTGCTAAGTTCAGACTTGTTGAAGCTTATTAAATACTTCATAATGAGACAAATAGATTTTATTCTAAGAAGCATGTGATGAAGTTCAGTTCAACAGACTGCGAAAGAAATGACTCCAAGCAGCTCCCTGAACCCCACACAAAGATGATGGAGATACCCGGTTTACACAGCCTGCACTCATGCAAATGGACCTGGAGCGCGTACACATGCAGCAGTTAGATGGGCAGAGTATTTATCATGCTCTGGCAGATCATTGCACATGCACAAGTAGTGCTTACTTGGACTCCGTGTAGAGCCACTAGGCGCAGGAGAGAGAGAAGGAACACTAGGCGCAAACCAGAGTGCTGTACATTCATTCTTGTGAGCATTCCTTGCTCTGTCCCAGTTTTGTTCCTGTAGTCACATGCTGCCTGGACAAAAACCGCAGCCTGTTTATTCCTTAGCTCCCTCACTGCTGCTTCCAAACAAGCTTCCCAGTGGGTAAAACGAGGCATTGGGTAGTGAGCTCCACAATTTTCTTCTTGCTGGTAATTTTCCCAGTCTAATAAACTCGTTTTCCTTGGACAGATTCCATGGGAACTGTTTTAAATACTCCACATTGATGGAGCATTTGAAAAACATTTCTTTCTGTCTTTCTTTTTCTCCCATTCCTCGCCTTCATTTTCCCTTGTTCCAGAAAAAATAGACAACAGATCATAAACAGAAACTACAAAGATGTTTTTCAATCCTTTCTGACGTTCAAAAACCTTCTGAAACTCAAGAACACAAATTCTCTCAGAATTTGGATCGACTTCATCTGAGTAGATACCATCTGTTACAGCAGCCCAACCCTTCCCCCAGCCTCCCTGGGTGGGGTCTTGGCAGCCACAGGTAAGTAGGGCCCCTCTCCCCCATTTCCCTGCGCAAGAAGCTGCCAGGGAGCACTGAAGCGGTATCAGCAGGCAGGAAGTGGGTTTCGGGGTGAGGGCGTCTCCACCCATTAGCAGCTGCTGAAGTAGTAGGCAGAGGTGCTTTTCTACAGAAAAAGCCAGGTCAGCAGGTACGCCAAACCAGTTTACACCACATGCTACCCACTCGCGGACTTACAATCCCAGGAAGGGACCTGCGATGCTAATGCCCTTGGCATTTCCTCCACCTGTGTTTGGTATCCCAAAGAATAAAACAAGTTAGACTTGGCAGTTTAAAGGGAATTATCAGGCAAGTCGAAGGAAGTGAAGGCTCACGCTGAGGGACGCTGTCTCCATGGAACATTGTGCGTCATGATTAAATGTCCAAGTGGTGACGTCCACACAGGTTTAGTAACTCCTTCATTCAGATTTAACTCAGAGGCAACTTTGATAGGTTATCAGAAACTTTGGGGGAGGGTGATGGGTGGGGTGGGGAAAGGAATGGGGTCATTTTTAAAAAAATGACTTCGTCTTTCTAAAAGAACAATAATATCACCTCACTGGTTCTGTGTGAAGGGGTTTTGGGAAAAGCCCAGAAAGTCATTATAGAGCTTGAAAACAAAAAAAATCTAAGCACGTTTGCCCATCACATCTTAGCGTACTTTTTAGCATTTTTCTTCTGGAAGACATTTAACTTTTTCTTTTTTGATTTTTTTTCTTTTTTTTTTTTAATTTTATGTGTATACGTGTATTGCCTGCATGCATGTGAGTGCACCCGTGTCGTGCAATGCCGTGGAGGTCAGAAGAGGGCTTCGGATTCCCCTGGAACTGGAGTTAAGGACGGTTCATAGCTGCCACGTGGGTGCTGGGAATCAAACCTGGGTCCTCTGCAAGAGCAGTCAGTGCTCTTAACCGCTGAGCCATTTCTCCAGCCCTGTTTTCTGTTTTTTTAAGACAGGGTCTCACTACGTATCCCTTGGCTCCCCTGAAACTCTCTATATGGACCTGACTGGCTTCAAACTCACCTGCTTCTGCCTCCAGAAGTGCTGGGATTAAAGGCGTGTGCCACCATGCCTGGCTTACTTTACTTTCTTAATGATGTTGGACTATAGCTTTAATAAGTTCATAAAGGTTGGGTGGATAGTTTTATATATAATATAAATATAAATATATATACATTTTAATATTCTTTTAATAGTGAGAAAACACTAAATGGTATGGTTACCTCTGTGAATGTGTTCCGATTGACTTGCAAACCAATTTTCACTACCTCAAAAGGGTTAACCACGATGGCTTCTGTTAGTCCAGATCCCAATCCAGCAATGGTATACGTCTAGAAAAATCAAATCAACCAATACTTTGAAACCAGTGGTCATATGTATGGGGTTAGATATTCTATCATTACACAGTGCAGTTGAAGCTGTGGTGAGGGTGAAGGTGAGTGTACCGTACACCATTACCAAACAGCCTGACTTCTTCAGTAGATGCCGACAGTTCACGGGGAAGAAATGATAGAAGCCACCAACCACATACTAACGATTTCAACATAAAATGTCAAAGCCCCATCCATAATGACTTTTTGCTTTAACAAAAGGCAGGGTTGTCTAAGTGTTTAAAGGTGGTTACTAAAGCATCTACATGTATATAATTAAGAGAGCGTTTAAATTGTAAAAGGAGAGCTTCACTTTTAAATATCTACTTAATGCATTTATTGAGCAGAACCACAAATAAAATGTTTATGAAAAGTCACATTTCAGGTTACAGACATGTAACTGGAAACATTCAACTGGATCACATGTTCTGAGAGTCACTTTTCAAAATTATTAATAAGCAATTTTTTTTCTTCTTCTTTTTTTTTTTGACACAGGGTCTACCTGTAGCCCCAGCTGTCCTGGATTCACTATGGAGACCAGGCTGGCCTCAAACCCACAGAGATCTGCCTGCCTCTGCCTCCCAAGTGCTGGGATTAAAGGCGTGCACCACCACACCCGGCAATAAGCAAATTATTTTATTCATTCCTTCTCTATTTTATTTTTTATTTCCAGTTCTGGGAATCACCCCATAATCTCAAGGTAGGAAATAGCTCTATCACTAAGCTATATTCCAACTCATGGCTTTCAAATGAGTGAATGTTTATTTTTGGACCTAAAAGCTGAGCAATAAAAGATCTGATCACCAGTGGATGGACCGTTCTAAAGGGTTCCACTAAAACGTAGAACATTTATTAAAGATGCTCGCATGTCAGATTGTTTTTGCTATTTGTTTAGAATTTCAGCAATAGGAAATAACAATTTTATAGAATTTTAGTCTAAGTAGAAACTTTAGGGATTGTCCAGAAAGTATACCTTAAAAATAAGCACAGCAATTAAAACACACAAAAATACATGCACACACACATGCATAGAAAACCAAAATGAGGCAAAACTTCCAAGCTCCCAAATGAATGTGGAAATATCTTCTGTGCTTCTGAACTAATTTCAGGAAAAGATGCAGGATTATGTCCACCTAGGAATGGGACAGAGCTAACGGGATGCGAAGAAGAGATCGTCCTTTCTTTACTTCATTCATTTTTCCATTTTAATTTAATTTTATTTTTTATTGAATTTTTTTCTGAATTTCATACACTGTATTTTGACAATATTTAGACATTCTTCCCCTAGCTGCCCTCCCTTACCACCACTTGCCCTATTTCATTCACTCTATTATATGCTTATCAAGTCAAAGTCATTTTTTGATATGACCTCACTATGCAGCACAGACTGGCCTTAAACTCTCAGTGATCCTCCTGCCTCAGCCTCTGAAGTGCTGGATATACATGCCTGACTTCATATAATTCTTATTTAGCATATCTAACATCCTCAAAATAGGGGACAAGAAGTGTTCTGTAACCTTAGTGTGGAGGTAGGATTGACTGAGAACAGGATACAGATCTGCAAGGTCCTGCAAGACCACTTACTGGCTGTATGACCAGAACCTCCATGTACAGCAGTTTGTCCATAGACAAAGTGGTATGTGGAGGCTGATGTCCAGCCCACAACCCAGGCTAGAGCTCTGGAGAGACAGTGGTCGGGAGAAAGGGGAATCTCTCACAACCCACACAAAGGTACTATTTGTGTTGCTGGGGCCGTGCACAGATCATACAGCTTTTGATAGGCCACGGTTTCGTCATCTGTAAAATAGAGATAGTGATGTCTAATTTCTCTACCTCATGAAGTTATATTAGGGTCATAGTAATGAATGAAAACTCCTTGAAAGAGCTTTCCAAATGCCATTGCTCTTGTCCCTCCCCCTAAAGAAGAAGAATTGATTCTAGGAGAGAAGATTCTAGGAGAGAAGGAATAACTAATGACGTTTTCCATTTATCCCAACTCATTACAATTTTAAGCATAATTTGTATAGGGTAACTGACCAAATATTTTACTCATTTATCTCAGACTTGTATCAAGGCATTCAAAAGCAGGGAGAAAAAAGTACCAGTCCCAAACTCTTCTGACTGGGAAAGCTAAAATCCAGATGTTCAGGGTTTTATTACTTACTATATGCAATCTTCCAAGTAATTCACTTTTTTGTTCTTCTATAAAGCTCTGCTACATTTGCTGTCAGAACTAGTGTTCAGCAGTCCCTTGTCAAAAGAACTGATCAGATACCAGCAGATCATGTTACTTAGATTGCTGCAGAGACATGCCTTTGCTGCTGGCTTTCCAGTCTCCAGGGCTTTCATGTAAGCACTGGGGCATATTTTAACGGCTAAATGCCTCACCGTATCAAAAAGAAACTGAAGTAAATGAGTTCAAGAAAAGAGGAGAACCGTATATGGCTTGCATGAATTCAGTTATGGTAGGTGGAGTGGCCAAATGCCTTTCTATTTTGACTCTCAAGAGTCAAAAGACCTGTAGTGTCTCACATTGTTACCAGGTTACCAGTGTTGCAACTGAACAGCCAGATGGCCCTCTGGAGACCACACGTTATTTTCTCCTATTAGGAAGTCTTTAATCCTCTTTTTGTCAAGATGTTTCCAAAGTTAAGAATGATATTAGGAAAGAGATTAAGGAATTAACAGAATTGTAATGCAAATTTGAGATTCCTGGTACCACTGCTCCTTTGTAGGAGGACCTGCCTCATGGTCACCCTGCTTAATTAGGGGGTTGGATGGGACCTTTTGTCATAACAGAAAGTGACAATTTCCATAAAGGGAGCATGTATGAGTTTTTGAAATGACAAATATTTCTTTTTTTAATATTTTATTTATTATTTTTATTTTATGTGTATGCGTGTACTGCCTGCATGAAGGTAAGTGCACGTATGTTGTGCAATGCCGCGGAGAACAGAAGAGGCTGTTGGATCCCCTGGAACTGGAGTTACAGACAGTTGTTAGCTGCCATATGAGTGTTGGGATTCGAAGCTGGGTCTTATGCAAGAACAGTCAGTGTTCTTACCTGCTGAGCCGAGATGACAAATATTTCTTTAATAGTCTATTTGGCAGAAAAATTCTGAAATACAGTCTGTAGTAAAGCATATCTATTCTGACCCGCACTGGTTCAACCTATAACTTTTTTTACTTTGTGATGGTATAACAATGAAACGCACTCCACACTTTGAATTTTAGTCTTCTCCCAGGTCAGTGGCACACAGTACCATAAGCACTCATGATGTTGTTCAGTAGCAGTATACCACAGCTCTCAGTCAGTTGTCCCTTCAGAAGAGCAAGCAACCAATTCTTTACAGTGTACTCTGCCGCTAAATTGGGATGCTTTGTGGGAGAGATGCATTTATGCTTTACTTACGGTGGTTTTATCAAATGTAACTCCACCATACACAGAAGAGCATCTGTAACTAAAGAGTTGAAACTCAGTACATAGCTTTTCCGGTTGAGTTTTGAGGTACGTTTCAGGAGCAGACTGGGGATTTTCCTAGAGCTGAAAGGTATGTTGCCAATTGGGGCAACAATGCACTTCGTTTTGTTTTCTTTTGCAGATTCGGAGGGTAAGATAAGTGCATTTGCTCTCTCTGGGGCTTTCAGTGCACACATATTTGGTCAATATAATTTAACTTGCTTTGTGGAAGGCAGGAAAATACCAAACAGGAGAGCAATGGCACAGGGCAGTAGCCAAATCACCAAGCCAGTTTGTATAATACTTGAGCTGTGTCATTGTAGGATCACCATTCTTCCCCGCTGAGTTGTTTACAGTCATTCCAATAAAAGGCCCTTCAGTCTGCCTCTGACCACAGAGTGATTTCATCCCAAGTGACTTGCAGTCCTATATTTACTACAGCTTGAGCAACAGCTGGAAAAGCGACCTGTTAAGAAATAATCTCAGGCATATTGACTTTTTCATAAATAGATATGGGCAGTATGTATGTAAACAAATGCACGTTTTGGTTTCAGAAGAGTCTTTGATGAATGTACTCTTTCTTATATATTCTTGACAATATCTCATATAGGCCTTTCCAGACATATCATTATTATCATAAATTCATCACTGGGAGCTATAAAATAGCCAGATTGTGAGTTATTATGAAGATGGCTTTCAACAAGTAGCTGAGCATTGAATAGCTCAAATTCATATTTTAGTAGCTGGGCTTTGGGAATCAAAAGGGCTTTTGTTTCTAGATTTTGCTTTATGAAATAGCACACACACTTAAGTATAATAAATACTCTTACTTACCAATGCTGGTGACACTGACACATGTCCTAGCAATTTCTTGTACTGCTCAAAGGTGGAAAACTGTGAAAGAAAACCAAACCTAAAGATTTATAACAATTTCCTGTAACAAACTCTCTAATTGACTAAAGATTCTTTAGTAAATCCTCATATTAACAAGCATTTTAAAATGATAAACCATCTCACACAGCTTTTAATCCTGTCTGGGATAGTTGCTATTGGATCTTATTTTAACATTCACATTTTTCAAATACAGTTATAACAACTTACAGAAAAGCTGATGGAATCCTTTATAGGGGTAAATGAACCATACAACTTCCATTTACCATAGCCATTTTCAGCTCCCCCAGACATAAATAGACTTCTTTTCTATGGCAGTGATTCAAAATTATAGGCTCAGAGACCTGAAATCCTTGGTCTCCTATAATTTCTCTATGAACTGCTTCTCAAGCAAATGCCCAGTTTCTAACACACTTGTGAAAGACATCCATTTCTCAGCCTTAACTTGCACGTATAATGCTTATTCTCCTTATTTCTCCATGGAATTTTAAAACACTGATTATGAAGACTCAATGATAAAGTAGGAAAGGTACACCGAGATTATCTGCTCCATTTCTTGCCTCAGAGCAAGACTGTTCTCAACCTGAACGGAGAGAGTTGCTTACTCTTTCCTTTAGGATTATAAAGCTGTTGTTAGCACCTTCGGAAGACAGTACTCAGTTGTACAAACATTTCTTTGTTTTTCTTTTTAAAGTTTTATTTTCTGTGTAGGAATGTTTTGCCTGCATGTTTATATGTGCACCACATGCATGTAGTGCCCACGGAAGCCAGAAGGGATCGGATCTCTTGGAACTAGAGTAACAGACAGTTATAATTATCATGCAGATGCTGGGAACTGAACCTGGGCCCTCTGCACAAGCAGCAAGTGCTCTTAACAGCTGAGCCATCTCTTCAGCTCCTACAAACACATTTCTATTGATGCTTTGAAATAATTCCTTCATGTAATACACTTATCCCTCTTCTTCTTCATTTATTCCTCTGCGTTCTGTATTTTGGGAACAACTCTGCTTGGACAGGATATTTTGCTCCTGAGTACTAAGTTGTGTAACAGCCAACATCAACGATTGGTCTGCTAGGTCTGATTCTCAGGAACCAAGAAATGGCATGGAAAATCAAATACTTTTTACTCTATTCCTTTATAGCCTAGTAAAACAGGGCAAGGTTAAAAAAAACAGAGTTTGGGGGACAGTTGGTAGTCTATTATAAGAAAGAAGTGGTTCCTTGCGTATGTGGTCTTTGGAGTCTTCATGTACCACTAGCTTGATTCTTAGTCTCCTAATTTTTTAATTTATTTTTATTTTATGGGTATTCGTGTTTTGCCATGTATGTTAGTGCACCTGTGCCTACAATACCCATGGAGTCCAGAAGAGTGTGTCAGATCCCCTGGGGACAGTTATTAGCCACCATGTGGGTGCTGGAACTGAACCAGGGTCCTCTGCAAGAGCAGGAAGTATTCTTAGCCTCTGAGCCATCTCTCCAGTCCTGATTCTTATTCTTTTAAAGACCAAGGAACTACTTTAGTGCCATGATCTTTTAGATCAAGTATGAATATAGACTCTTCTAGAACAAGGATTTATTGACTCATCTAACGCACAGTCATTAGCTTCCTCTCATTCTAGCCACCGAAAGTGAAGCAAACACAGCCTGTGCCTCTGCCTTCCTGATCCCACACTGGTGTGTTGATGATAGCTACCCCAGAAACCCTCAAAATCATTATAGAAGGAAAAATACTACAGTCTTAGGCATTGTTTTGCTTCTTTGAGACAAAAATCTCATTCTGCAACCCAAGCTCACCTCATGGCAATCTTTTTGTCTCAGCCTCCTGGACGCTGGGATTATAGATGCGAGCCATCCACCTGGCTCTAATTTTAAGCTTCAGAGACCATTTACTTCTGTTTTATCATCATTATCACCATCACTGTGCTTCGATAATCCTCTTGTCAGGATTTTGAAGTGAGCAGTCCTACCTCTGAACCCTGGACTTGTCTCTTAGCTATGAAATTGTGACCATATTGCTTCACCTGCCTAACCTCCAGCAACCGAAACCTTAGTTATTATAGTTGTCATGAATAATAGAATTTAGGTAGGATCTCCTGACATGCCTGGCACATAGGAAACTGGCAAAAATTTCAGTTTGTATTTTTTGTCTTTACTTAGGTCAACAGAGGAACCACAGATGCGTTAATTATGAGAGTTTTGGGTGGTCCAGAAAACATGTTAAGATCTTGCAAGTATTACTGCAGTGGATCCATACAACAATGTCAGCAGATGAGAGGCTAGAGTAGGAGTGAAGGTACACTCATGAGCTCCTTCACAGATGGACTAACGGACTGAGTTTGTCTCTAACACTAAAGCTTGTCCTTATTATACCATGGTTGTTAGCAGCCTGGGAGGATAGTTTCTGCCCTAGGGCTTTCTTGCTATTGAGGATAAGGTCTTCTTGGTTTTTTACTATACCTGAGATAGCTACAAGATCTTGAAGTGTGGAGTCCATCAGTGCAGAATTTTTCAAACTTTTATGAGTTATAAAAACATCTACCCAACACACAGAGACATGCATAAGCATATTGTCTTGCATTTCTAATTGAAACTAAACATTGATATGAGTTTCTTTTGTGTAGTAAATACATTTTGTGTCTAGTCTATTTCATTTAAAAATTTTCTGGTTGTGACTAACTTGATTTCATGGCCCATGCATGGTTTTGGAAACATTCCTGTAAGAAACCGTGCTGACGTTGGGGTAGGGGACATTCGGAGGTGATGAGCTCAGAGAAGTCTCCACTGTCCTAACAGCTTCCTGTGTGAAGGAGTACATTTGTTCAGTGCTTGTTTGTCCCTGTTTCTTTTTAGCTTTCTGTCATTTCAAGGATTAGAGACCAAACTGGATGTCAACGAAGATGTATGGGGACATGCAACTCGGCCTACAACTGTAGAAATACAAAGATTTCCATGTTAACACTTTGAGGATAATTCTAGGCTTTTTATTTTCCGGTTTCTATTTTACCCTTTGTTTTCTTTTTATTTATTTATTTATTTATTTATTTTTATTTGTTATGTGTGAGAGTGTTTTGCTTACATGTATATAAGTGCTCTTGTGTCATACGATGTCTGAGGAAGCCAGAAAAGGGCATCGGAGTCCCTGAAACTGGAGTTATAGACGACTGTTAGCCATCATGTGGGTGCTGGGAACTGAACCCTGGTCTTCTGCAAGGGCAGTCAGTGCTCTTAACTGCTGAGCCATCTCTCCACCCCCATCGTTTTCAAACCATGCTAATTAAAAAAACCGAATGAGAAACCTGACATCCTGGATACTCTGTTCTTGGATGCAGTTGAGTTGGAGCATGGACCACTTGAGTCTTGCTTCTAACAAATGGGAACTTCTGCATGCTCACTCCTGGCCTCATTCTTCTCCACTCTTAAGACAAGAGCCCTCTGAGCATCTTCTTATTACCTTTTGAATGTTGAGGTTTCAGGACGAATGGTACTGTTCCTAGTCCTGTGCACTGCCAAGTTTTCTTGGCATGTTTATTTATTTATTTATTTTTATTTGTTATGTTTGAGAGTTTCTCCTGGATGTGAGTTTCTCTTGGATGTTTCTTTCCTGGGTGGTAGGAGTTCCCTCATAGGCTTACAATGGTCAGTACTCTGCTGAATACCTGAGAGATCCTTCCGCAGAGCTCAGGATATGTGTCTCTGTCTTTCTCTGTCTCTCCCCCTTTGTCTCTGTATCTTGCTCTTCCCAGGTGCCTTGTCCTAAGATCTCCCACTACTTTCCTGTTCTTAAACTCTGGTCTTCTTCTTAACACAAAGAGTCCACTGGATTCTGCCTTTATTTGCCCTCCTTATTTAGGGCCTGGAAACCCTCTCAAGTCAGGAGGTTAGGGCAGTCACCAAGCTCATCCTGTTTGTTCTACCTGTCCCTGGTTTTACTACCCTTCGTTATCTGATGTTCAGTGCTTCAGTAACTGTTGTTTCTTGTATTCTGTCCATTGTTATTGTTTGCGTTAAGTGGGAGAGTTAATCTGGTCGTGTTATTTAATCTTGGTCAGAAATGGAAGTCTTGGCCTTCAAGATACTTTGAATAGTAGATGTGGGAATTTGACGAAACGGAATGAATTCTCTCTATATATAAACTTTATTTTTCTGTACATTTCTTTTTACCATTTATGCACCTGAACATCAACTACGTGTAGACACCATAGTAGGTGTAGGTATACAATAATGAACAAACACCCTTCATAATTTATAATATCCTATGAGTTTGATATGAATCTGGAGAAAAATGGACTTGAGAGGCTCAATATCAGACCCTAGAAACCAGAACACCATGCCTCTCATCTCTCAGGGAGCAGTGGGTCTCTTCCTGAGTTTTCGTTTCCACTTGTTAACCACAGTTTGAATTCTGTTTTAATTTGTGAAGAGAAGTTTCATTTATTTAGCAACAATGAGTCTTATTTTAATGATTAATCTCATTTTAAACAATAAAATACAGACATAAAATTGAAACTAAAATGTCCATACCAAGTAATGCATGCAAGGGGATGGACACACACACACATACACACACACACACACACACACACACACACACACACACACACACACACACGAGTTTCTGAATATTTTATTCTGAGGTAAACTTTGATGACACACAATGAACAGTTTATGATGTATGAAATCATTACAATCAGGTGATTTCTTTCCTCACAAATCCCAAGATAAATATCTATAAAATGAATGTTTTCATAAATTGTGTTGAAAAACTGGTGTTATCCATCTGGCAAAGATACGCTTAACTCCAAGTTATACTTAAAAAGCCAACGTATTTACCATATGTCTCAATAATTTTAAGGTGAAATCTACTTGAAACAAGATGTCTGGGACACGTCCACCATATCCAGTTGCCCAAAAGTTCATCTGTTAACCATTGCTCTGGCATGGAACCCTGCTTTTATTTTTTTCTAAGCAGAGACTAACTCAGTTTTTCAAAGCTCATTTTTTTTTTTTTTGGTAAGATTGTTCAACATTGATAAAATTTAATCCTCTTAAAGTGTAAATTGTCTCTAATATATGGCACTGAGGGAAAATATTTCAGGAAGAGCTCTAATTGTAATTTACTTTATTTATACATGGGAAACTTTGAACAAACGAATACATTATTCCAGGGAGACAAAGTGGCTATCCTTTGAACAGGAACTCTGCTCTGTTTGTTGACTCGGGCAATCTTTTATCAAGTGAAGCCGTTTCATAATTCAATTCAGCCCTTTTGTGTACTTTGGTGAACTTTTTCCAGATCCTCTACTGCAATTCAGATCCTTATAATGAAATTTGTATTGAAGTAATAATATGAAAGCACAAAAACTGCAGCAACAAAGAGGACAAATTCATAGAGAAAGCATGTTTTAAAGCTTTCTTTTTCTGAATTGGAGCCCTGAACTAAATTCTATTACATTACTATTTGCCATAATGTAAAAGTTGATGTTTGTGTATGTATGTTGGTTATTTCATCATAATTTTTTAATGCAGTCACCCCCTTGATTTACTCAGTAAAAACATTTAAACTGCCCCTTCTTGCCTTTCAGGAATATTGGAAATATAAATTAAGTATATGAAAAAAGCTTTATGCCATTAAAATAAATGGCATAAAGTTGGAAAGGAAGTCTTTAAGTCTATGTTTATGCTATCATTTTTATAGAAAGACAAAGCCATATTTGGTGATGTCAGTGGTGGGGGCAGGAGAGCCATGCCAGTCAGAGCTACTGCAATCATGATTTTGGCTTGAGAGAACAGAAGGGAAAAGGACAGGTAAATTTATTCTTGGGGTTCTGGCACACATTCCTAGTCCCGTACTGAACTCACCAAGAGGTGCATAAACCTTCACAGTTAACGTGGTTAAAAAATGGAAACAATAATTTTTTAAGCACCAGAATAGAGAATTTTAACCTAAGACGCTAAGGGGTGGGGATAAAATTGACTTAAATATGCAAGAATCTTGCACAAAGAAATATGGTATCTTTCATAAGAGGGAAATGATTCCAGGAGGAAGGGGTTTCCACTTCTTTTTCTTTAACACTCACTGCTCTAGGGCAACATTTCTGAATTACTTTGAGAAAAGGTCCAGCTATTTTGTGGCTTTTGTGATTTAATTACATGAATTTCATTCACCACTGTGTATTTATGTGTGTGTAATTTCCTCATTAGAAGGGAGTACTTTTACCTGAAAAAAAAAACCCTACAAATTGATATATATGTTTGAGAATTGACCAAGTCTACTTAGAATAAAAATTATTCTGTAATTTGTGCATTAACAATTTTCAGTGTTTTATGTGGAGTCGCATTAGTGTCCCCTTGCTACTGAGGGCTGTTTCCCATCCCAGAGCTGCTGCCCCACCCCGTTTCCATGTAGGGATGATGCAGCACCTACCTTCACTGCTCTTTTTGGCGTTTCAGCTAAAATGGGTGGTAGAATTCCTTTGTAAAACCCAAAAATCCTATTGGAGAAATAAAACATTCTTATATGAGCAATGAGATTACAAAGTGGTAGTTCTACTTTTGTTCATGGATAATTATACAATCTAGAATATGAATTATGAAGTTTTCCAATTTGAGATTGAAGATATGGATCTTATATCTATTAGTATTATGATACTCAGAAAATGAACAAGTGATTCTCAACTGCTAGACAGGGTGAACATGAACTGTACCTTACAGATGACTCTGCCTCATCTCACTGAAAAGAATCTTTATTTTCTCTGTACTGCAGGTACAGAGAGCAGTACCTACACAGTAGGCACAGTAGATTGAACCTTTTTGAAGCGATGAAACTTTGAATTGTCGATTCACTAACTCCTGATATTGGGGCTCCCAGCCACATCCAGAACCAGTTTTACAATTTTTTTTTTCAATTAGAAGAAGCATTTCATTACAACAGCATTAACCTATTCAATAACATTTTTCTGAGCTAGGGTACATCTCTTTCAAAATTGAGTGTACATTTTTAGGCTTACAGATGAATTATTATGCTTATACAATCTTTTACTCATTATAAACTCTATGAGACATAAAATTAAATGAGGTTTTAAT